CCCATGTCGCGTAGACGCTATACACTTCACTTTCAACCATTCATCCTTCCTCCAAGATTCGAACTGAGGACCAACGATGCGGCAGCCGGAATCGGTAACCACTGTACCTATCTGTGCTACACTGTGAACAATACAAAAGGATTATAGAATACCAAGAATATGTACTGCATATGGAACCATATATTCCAGTGATAGTAATTTATCGTTATGTGTCAATAAGCCTGCGGCATATGTTCTTATTATGGATGGAATGCGACTACAATTTATTCGAAATAAAACGCTGGTAACTAATGTCAGTAGCTTTCAGCAGAAATTTATTCGGAAAGTTAAAAATATAATCTAATTGGAAAGTAAGCGTCTTTCTATATTCCTTAAAACTACAATATATATGCAAATAAAAAGGAAAAATTCAATCTTCCAGACTTGTCCAAATATTCCTAAATCGATTATTTGCCACAGACCTCTGAGTCACCTCCATGTTCAAATCGAATTCCTGGAGATGTAACATATGCCCGAGTTAAAGTTATATCTTTGAAAATGAAAAGTTATTTCATTGAAACTGTCTTTATTGGAAATAAGTCTGCATTTTTAAAAATTCCCAGCCACCAGCACTTCGTTTTTATCTTGGTCACGCAGTTTTATAAGAGGTGAAGAAACGGAATTAGATTTATGAGCAATATATCAGAAACTGACACAGAGGAAAGTTATTTGAATTATAATGCAAAATCATGCCAGAACGTGCAGAAATGCATTAAGTTAAAATCATTCCTGTCTTTGAAACCTATTTCTATTGAGGCAAAGATTTCGTAGTTATGAAATCTTTCTTTCGCTAGGTATTTAACTTTCATATATATCTATTAAACATATAACAAATGGTAAATAGTAAGAAACTAATCTCCAGTCTAAACTGGTATTTATAAAAGACAGCTGGTTATCCAAATAAGATTGAAATTATATTCTGGTTTAAAATTTTGTCATCGATTTTTAACCTACTTCCTCGTATGCTATCGAGTTAAAATTTTGTACACACGCTGTTTATCAATGAAAATGCAATGTACTGAAATGAATTTTTCAAAATTCGATTTAGTTTTTCCTTATTTAATGTTTAAATGGGTTTACGCACATATCTTCGTTTAACTTCAAAATTAGGCATATCAGAAGTTTACTATCTGGAATATTGAATATATCGGAGAAAGGTTTACAGAGAAATTTGTATGAAAATTGTAGGTTAATTTCTGAATTCTTGACCAATTTTTCAAGATTGTTCAAATTTTTAGACTGAGGTTTATGATTTTAAAAGCTCAATATCTAAAAGTGAATCGGATATAAAGTAGTCTAAGGCAGACGGAAGAAAAAAGCGTTTCGAATTTTTCGTCATGGTGCAATTAATGAGGTAGTTCAACATCTTATTGCACTTGATGACTAATGAGCAATATTCGTTTCTTCATTTTAGCTTCATGTTAAATACATATTTTAATATTATTATTATATCCAATTTCCGAATATAAATATCTTCCGAAATTGAATATTCAAAGCGGTTTCTTCATTTGCTGAACAACGTTCAGTTATTTCCTTGATTTTCATAATTTTCTTATCATTTATTGATTGTATTTTAATACTGACCGAAAACTGGTACGCACAATTCATCACTGATAGTAATAATTCATCATTGATAACATATAACTGAAACTAAAAAACAGAAAATGAAATACAGTTGCGTGCGTATGGGCTCGTAATAAATTGAGCGCGCACAGAACCGATGACAGATTGATAAAATCCATATTCCCAAAAGAAACACTTGATAGTTCTGTAACTTTTCTGAAAAGTACTCGTTCAGCTCATCTCAGTATAACAGAGCACAATCAATAGTTACCACTTTAATAACCTTAAGTAAAGTACAATGTAAAACGCATCAAGCGAGCGAAGCTCACTCGATCTCTGAACTGCGAAGCCAGTTCTGAACTAAAAAACTGAGAGCTGGTGTTCAGTGTTCACTACGTTCTTATATAGTTTCCAGCAGGCATTCAGGAAATTTCCAGTAATTTCCCATTTTCGAAATTAATGGGAGGAATATGTAGTTTCAGTTACATGTAAGGGGCGATACGGTTACAGTTCAATATAGGGTTTAGTTGCAGTACCAATTACAGTTATAGAGGGACCAGACAATATGTTGACAAATGATCACCACGTTTCGAGAAAAATTTAGCCGCCAAAACCATCACCAGATCGATGATATCTTGCCCATTTAACGAGATAATTGCCTCAATGTTAAAATATGCTTGCCCCTGTAATCTTATTTTTACGATAAAGCGTCGTGTTTTCGAGGCAATTCAGGTTACATTACAAAAGAGATGCTAAAGTTTTACATATAATTTCATTAAAATTAATAGCACATATATACAAAATTCCTAACAATACAATTAAAAAGAAGGTTTTTATGCGATAAGATTTTATTTAAAATAGGTATGATAATTAATGGCATAAAAGGGAACACAATATCATATTGTTTAACCGGAATAATAGATTAAATAATTCATTTACAGAATTCATCTACAAATTTATATCTCAAATAATGAAAGCGTGGGCCTCCTAAATAAAGAAATCTAATTAATTTACTTAATTAGTCAAATATATAAACCATTACCGTTTTAGAATTTCTATTAGTTTAGCTGCATTGTCAAATGTATAAACCATTATCTTTTTCAGTTTATCCTGGTCGCCCCATGTTTTTATTATTTGCGATATAAAATTTTAGATGAGTTCTGTAAATAGAACTATTTAATTTTTTATTTCCTTTTAGTGCATTAATTATCGTAGCTCTTTTAAATCAAAGGTTAATGTTTAAAAACACTTTTTTAACTGTACTTTTAAATTTTCTTATTAATATGCCGTTGGTTTCTGTAATCGATTTCGAAACAGCAAATGATTTTTATTTCATTGTATAAGAATTTTAACTTTATAGTATACCTTATTTTTAATTTATAACAGTTTTATTACTGATGTTTCTTTTTGCCACAACCCATCTGGATTTCAAGGCTCTTTTATTTTAGCGGATGAGGTGAGACATTAACGAAAGTATTGAAGGGCAATAATCCTAGGATTAACAAGAGGGTATATCAGACATATGAATTTAAACACATTCAGAAGTTTCACATCACATATAAAAAAAAAATGTTTCGCAACAGATTTCTCTTGCAAACACTTCTTAGCGGCAGTTAAAAAAAAAAAGAAAATTTCACTGAGAAATCGCATCAGTTCTTTGATCGTTTATTGAATGAAATGATTAGAATGTATAGTATTTAAATACTGAACATTTCTTAGATTTCATTCGAACCTTCAGTCTTTTGATTATAGAAGTGTATATATATAGTGATTTTGTAAAATTTTAAATCTTTATTACTTTTAGCCCAAAAGATCTATTATTCTGCAACCGCTGTTTAACTTTTCATTTGAATTTTGAATTGTTCGCCATTCGAACAAAGTAAGTTATCATTCCTTTATATTTAATCTGTCTGTTATTAGTTACCAAACTATATTCTAAAAGAAATAAAGCGTATTACTTTTTTAACTTTTAACCTGACTGATTCAAATAAAAATGCTTATATTTCATTATATATTTCGCTAAAACATTAAATATTTTTATAAAATTACATTGCATACTTTTTTTACTTCTTTATAATGAAAATATATTAAGTTCCCTTATTAATCTAAATGCCTGTTCATTGTTTTGTTCTTCCACCTGGGCTCCCTCTATCATATAATTTTTCTACGTATTATGTGATAATAAATTCTACTGATAAACCATATAATGTATTTTAAAACAGCTCTTTAAAATTTGAAAGCTTTCAGAATTTTCTAGGGAGGGTAAAAATTTTTATGCTATGCATTGTTTTTTATATTTCTTTATTTGCTTTTTTTTTGTGAGGAATATTAACAAAAATATTGAAGAGTTCTCGTTCTATAATCAATAATGCTGGCATATATATATAGCATACATACATAGCAGACATACAGCGGATATAAGAGCGTATACGATGCAGATTGAAAAGTTTCTTCCCCTCACGTATAAAAACTTGTTTGCCAGTATGTTTTCTCTTGCAGATACCTTGTTGAAATACAAAACTAAAGCTGAAAATTTCACTATAGAAACCACATAAGAGCTTTGTCTGTTTATTGAATGAAGTGATATACTAATTAATTCTGAAATACTTAAAAGAGTACACTTCCATGATTAAAATTTAGCGTGGGCCATCGCAGTAACGTTTTTATCATGTGTATGCTGATTTTTCTGCTCTCTATTCCACAGTGAAAGAATATATAAAACAATTTCTTATGCCCCGAGATGAGAAGGAGATTTTTGTAAAAACTGACCACTGAAAGCCCTGATATCAGAAACAAAGCCAGCGTCTACAACGGAATGTTATGAAGTAAAGTAACAAAAGTCAAGGCGATAGCAACAAGGCTGAATATTCCCCATTCCGTCCAAACATCTTAACGACAAAGGTCTCTACAAGAGGAATATCCCGACCGTATTTCGATAATTGAGAAACAACAACGTCCTTAATGTAATTAAAAACACTAATATGATCTTAGCAGTTTTCCCGTTCCCTTTTCGACCCAAATTTCGCTCCAAGTAATTTATATTTATTCTTCTAACTGGTCTCTAGCCTTCGTATCGTAATGATGCCACGAAAAAGCGGTTATAGAACATTTTGAAGATAATCCATCCGATTGTGCTTTCTGAAGCATAAAGTTACTCATTAAACGATATGAAATGCGTTATGAGGTATAAAGATATCGTTCTGAAATTCTTAAAAATGTTCTTTATTTCTTTAAGCATACGCTTTTGAATCTGCAAGTGTGCATTCTGTTTTACTTAATCTCATTTGTTTCATTTCATGTTGTCAAAGTTTCCGCTCTGAAGCATTTATTTATTTTAAAATTACAATAACAGTTAAAGGTTATCATATTAAAAAAGATGCCTTGTATTTTTAGCTTACCCGTTCGACTAGGATGATGATTTGTTTCGGATGATCCCGGTATGTTCTTGTTCCACAACACCTTAGCTATTTGATAATAAGCTACGGCCATTAGCAGAAAAGGTGCCACATACAAAAACAAAAGTAAGAATAACTGGTAAATCCGAGTACTATTCTCGCTCCAAGTGTACGTGCAGTCTGTGAGATAAAGCGTATCTAATGGCAGAGGATGCTTCCTGGTGTCCAAAACTATAGCTTCTGGAAGGACAACTAGAGTGGATAGTAACCATATGATGAGAATTGACGTTTTCGCTCGAGCAGCAGTGCTCTTGAAACTCAAGGGATGGCAGATAGCATACCATCGGTCGATAGATATAAAAGTCAAAGTCAGCACCGATACACTTACTGAAACACTCTGAAATAAAAAGAAAGAGATACATGAGCATAAGAATATTAGTTTAATGGAAACTGCACTGGTATGGTCGATAAGACCGTCAAAATTACAAAGAGACAGTAAACATATAACTAGACACAGCATTTTGATAATAATTTTGAAATCTAATGTACTAAAAAAATGAAAGATTTTTCTCTGAATATTAATAAATTTATGTAAATATCTGTAGATACATATTCCATTTTTTCTTAAATTTTGTCGCACGTATTACGTATTATGCAATAAAACAATATCACGCAAATGCAATTTATCCAGATAATTACAATTTATATCAGGAAAACATTATTTAGAGTTCCAGATAAACATTTATAAATGTGAAGAGACATCTGGTAACTTTCATTGAAATATCGCTTGCACTTTTATGGACTTTGTATGTAGTTCGAAGAATTTCACAAACTCTGTAGTAAGGATTATTGTATAAAAATGTTTTAACGCAGTTCCGATTTTTCCACTTGAGCCATTCAATCCAACTTGAATATAAACTTACTACTTGTTGGTTTTGCTTCCAAGAATGTTTCGCTGAATATTTAGACCACTCTAAAATGATTGCTTTGTTAGAATTTCCGAACATATATATTTTTACTTTTAAATGATGGTTTCTGACAACTGATACTGATTTTGTTCTTGTTTTCAAAAATTATTTACAATAAACTTATTCTTCTTGACTTATTTCACAAAACTAAAATTACAAACGCTGAATTTTATCATCATTCTGGAGATGAGCGATACGAAATCGTTACTACATATTGTACTTTAACACAGCTTTTGTGTATGACATTTTGAATAAACGGTCCACTGATAAACAAACGTATGAATTTTACTCGAGTTTCAATGCTACACGCACAGTACAGTCTCTAGGCAATAGTAAAGGCAGTTTCAGTCCTGTTGAAAATATTGTTCAGTATCTTCCTTAAAATAAACACATACCTTAACTTATCTTCTAAAATGTTAATTCAGCAACATTTAGGATAAAAGCATTCGAAAGTAGTTTTTGCAAATATTCAATATTAACAGTAAACAACCCCAACCATTTCGCGCTTTGTCTCATATTAAGCAAAGGATATTTGAATGAAGAAAGGTGGTATTACAGATAATTTGTCATGCTAAAACCACTTTATTTGCTAGATTTCTCATCCTTTGTTCTCTGTTATGAACACGCTTCACGATTTTCAGATATTCCTACTAAAACGATGCGATGACAAGTTTATGATGGATGCCTAAAGAAAAGCTCTTTCTGTACTGCCATGAATGGCACGATCGCTGAAGTAAGTTTATGCTGCGATGGACGTTACTCAGATGGCGACTAGATTAATAATTTCTTTTAGTACTTCAGAATATAACTGTGGTATAAACGTTTTTAAATGTTTTCTAATTTTTTGCAATATACAGGATTGTAAAATAGTAGTAATAAAGCTATTGATGAGCTATTTTGTGATAAAAAAATGAAGAACAACGCATTTTTAACTGATACATTACATGTACCAGTTAATGTTAATTTTTAACTGATACATTACATGTACCAGTTAAAAATTATTTACTGATACATTACATGTATCAGTTAAAAACTAACAATTACGTATGTTGCAAACACAAAGAAAGAATAAATACGTTTAGAAAACATTGCGTTTTGTATTTTCTTTATTGGCTAATCAATTCTTGCTAAGCAATAAAAGTTCCTATTTACTTAGACCAGGGATTACCATCCGTCCCCTTACTTTTCTCTCTATAATGTGCAGCATATAAAACAATCATAATACAAATAACTACGCGTAAATAACTTAGCAATTACACCGAAAATATGAAGAAAGTTTAAAAAAAATGGTTTTATAAATTTATGTTTTATTATTTTTTCTACTGCTATTATTTTTAGCTTTACAAATATAAACAAGTTTTCAGGATCAGAATCTCAGATTCTAATTGAAAAAAATGATTTTAATTAATATGATGGCTGTGTTTGATGTATTGTTACAGTATTTTGGACATCTAGTATAAAACTGCTTGAATTAATTCTTAAATCAGCTCGTTCGAAAATATTTAGCCTGTTTCTTGTTTTCCGCAGGTTGCTATTGATTTTACTAAACCTTTCTTATAGTATGGAAAAAAACAAAACATTCAATAATATTATGTGGTAATAAGTTTTATTTTGGGATGCTTCTGTCGGAGGATTTTTAAATTCCGAAGCTTAACATACACATGCTTTTCGAACAAGACTTGTGCTTGAACATCTGAACATCCCTCTTTAACGCGATTAGCACTTCTTGCATCGTAACATCTGTAACAAATGCATCACAGTTCAGCGCTTTTACGAGCAATGCTGAAGCATTCAGATTTTCAGTATCTTGGAAATTAACATAAAGATTTGTAAGCAGCTTGTTTATAATAATATTTCTTCTGAAGAACTTTCGAGTTCCTATTTTTTAGCTGAGTCTTCGAGTGTTATTTCGTTTTACGTTTTTATGCTGAATTTTATGCATAAAAATATTTATATATTTGGAAAAGGTACTTTTCATTTTTAAGATATGTTTGTAGAGCCATTAGTTTTTTTTGGAAGGGAAGAAGGAGATGTGAAGAATGAGTTATGCCTTCGAACCACTGACCTGTCCAATACGCGCCGAATGCGCTGGCCATTACGCCACGAAAGCATCTTAAGAAGGGCGGGAGAAATACCTTATATACTCCCCAATTTTAAAGGGCGACTGGGAATTTGGGGACCTAAACTCCAAATCCTGGTGGTGGAAAATCCTCAACCACCAATTTTTTTTTGTTCGGGCGCCACTGTAGAATTATTAGAATTTTTCGAAGCAGAAGAGATGATAAATGAACAATGCCCTTGCCTAAACCCGAACCTCGGACCTCTCGAATACGCGCCGAGTGTTCTGGCCGTTAAATCACGAAGGCATGCTAAGAAGGGAAGGAGAAATGCTTCATATGTTAAACAATTTTTATCTATTTTTCTCTTACATTTATGTTATATGATTTCGTTTTAATACAAGATATGGCTTTATATCAGTAAACAATTAATTATGAATTTTACAATATTAATAATTCTTTGTAATCACTGGATATTCATTACGCCGATCAGTTGCCCGAACATGTTCGGCTATCGGCACCCACTCGACACTTTTATCTGGATCTTTTTTTTTTTTTTTTTTTGATTTACAAATCCATTTAAAAAATAGAATAAACTATTAATTGGAGAATTAACTGCTTAAAATATTGATTAGTTGATGACACCTATGAAAAATGCAGTAAATGTTTAAGTTAAGAAAAATAAAAAATAAATGACGGATTTTTGTAGCATTTATTTTGCACCACTTTATTTACACAGATTGTCTTAAAATTGAAAAATACCATATGGCGCGAAAAATACTTCAGTCGTATAAATGGTGAAAAACCAAGGAGCAGAATAATGTAATTTCGAAGACAGTCGAGCAGAAGTACAAACTATTTTATGTAATGACTTTCGATTCTTCTAAGAAAAATTGCAGCACTTACAGTCAACATTTCTCAGGCAATATTGTACAAGAACAAAGCGGTTATTATTAACGAAAATATGAATCCATTAAGATTTTTTCTAACAGCTTGCATATTGGACTATGATGTCGAATAAGAAGCTGAAGGAAGCGAAGTAAAATTTTAAAAATTTAGGTGCCACACAACTAAAGACTGGCATTAGTTTTAGGTGGTAAGAATGAAGGCTTTCATAATCGGACAGCAATGGATGTATCCCTGTGTACATTCTGAAACCGATACTTACACGAAAAATCAAAATACATTTGTATTAGTGGTTAAAAATATTGCTGATTATGTTCATACAGAATTAAAAATTTATTTATAACCATGTTCTATATTTATTTAAACTTAATCATGTTGGCTCAAAAGTTTTAATTTTAATAATTTTATTCTTTAGTTTTTAAAAACTTCTTTACAGGGATATTTTTACGGGATTTATATTTAAAAATATGTATTCGGTTTCAGTTATGGCAATTACTTTAAGCTGAAAAACATTTGCAGCAACCATTTTAAGATGCCACTCGTACCATCCACTATCAGTTTCGATTCATATACGAATTTAGGATAATAATAGTGTTCAAAAACGTTACCCTGAGTTCACATTAGTCATTTTCTGTTCCGTTAACAAAAATTTGGACTATATTTGATAACCTCATAATGTAGTAATAATGTCACTGCAGAAGGTAAACTCTAGCTGCATTAATTACATGGTGAATTCTGATCCTTTGAGTTAAAGTTGCCGTGTCACTCTGGAAACTTAATCATTATTGGTTTCCAGAGTAACATGATTAGTTTAGGAAATAGCATGGGAATAGACAGTATCTTGCAATTGCTGGGATTTATACAGTATTCCGCCTTTCCTGGTCGTGAAATATATAAAATATGTGATATATAAAAGTCACTACACTAGCTCAAGACGTTTTTGGTATACCATGAACTAATAATATGTTTAGACCAGAGATCCCAGAACTAATTTTACACCAATAGTGTCAAAGGAAAGGTATCAGTTAAAGCAATTAATAGGTAAAACTAAATTTTCTACCTCGATTTTAATAATGACTGTCAAATTATTGATCAAACTGTATTACCTAGCTGCTAAACGTTATTTGTGCCATTCAAATTCTTTCTCTAGCAATCATTTTAAACCATGTTCAACAAACTTCGAAAGTTTTTGTTAGCAAAATAAATATTCTTGGCTCAATAACTGGGAAAAAAAGCGAGAAACATATTTATTTTTCCGGTTTTCAGATGTTTCTAAAGCCGTAGAAGCAGACAACGGATTAAATTCTGACAAAATTATGGTCTTGAAACAGATATTATATTAAAGACAGGACGTTTAGAAATACCCAAGTAATTCCTAAAAAGTTTTCCGAGAAAAGAAATTTTAAAAGATTTTTGAAAATTAACTCTTTTAGATCAAAGCAAGCACAAAATAAGTAATACATTGA